CCAGGCCCGGGCTGGAGCGCGGTGGGGGCGGGGGAAGCCCTCCGTCCCGGGGCGTGGCCCGCGGGAGGTCGCACCGAGCCCTAGACTCCCAGACGTCAGGCAGGCATCCTTTTGGCTTCGGCAACATCTGCTTCTGGTTTTAAAGGTTTGTTTGTGTACTGAGTAGTAAATTTGAACAGCGAGTAGCAAGTATTCGCATGCGAGGGATATTAACTTTTAAGCAAATCTGTTTGTTTTTGAGAAGCCGTCCTGTGGCAATTCGGTTAATGAGTTACGGCTGCTAGGGAAATTGACGCTCGCCTGACTCAAACATCAAGAAGTATGAGATGTTTAGGTAACATACCCCCCTCTTCTGTGTCCACCCTCTTAGCCCATGTCCCCCAACAGGAAGCCGCTAATGATCAGTACAGGCTTTTAGATTATTTTATGCATTTCCAGAGATAATACAGACATATTTTTTTCTCTAACATTTTTCTGCACCTTGATTTTTTTTCACTTAATATGCCTTGGAGATTCTTCATACTAGTGAATTTAGAGTGGCCTCATTATCACTATTCTCATAATTATTCAGGTATAATTTACATACAATAAAATGAACCTTATATGACATGTACAGTTAGATGAGTTTTGATAAATTTGTATACCTGCATAATCACCACCACAATCCACATACATTTCCATCACTCCCAGGAAGTTCCCTTGTGCCCCTTCCCAGTCAGTCTCTCCCAGTCCCAACTCCAGGCAACCACCGATCTTTCTGTCTAAAGATAAGTTTTTCGTATTCTGGAACTCCATAGAGATGGAACCATAAAGCATGTACTCTGTGTCCTACTGCCTTCTTTCTTCATGTTTTTGAGATTCATGTATCAGTAATTTGTTACTTTGTGGTGCTGAGTACGTTCCATGGTAGAGGGAAGTATGTTCTATTCTCCAGTTAGGCATTTGGGTTCCTCCAGTTTGGGGCTCTTCTAAATACAGCTGTTACAAACTAGCTCCATGGGGTCGGGGACTTTCTTTAGTTTGCTGCCTAGTACAGGGCCTGGCACACTGTCAGTGCTGATAAAATGAGGAGGACATGTAGCCTAAGAGCTGTGTGGAGCTTGAAGTCATACTTGCCAAGTGCATGCTCCAACCCAGATGACCTATGCCCAAGCACATCAGAGGAACTTCTGCTGAAATCTCAGAGCAACTGTTTATTTACATTTGGGGGTAGCAGAGGAGGGGTTGGGGCCATTGGACCAAAGATGGGGAAGATGGATCCTAGAGATGCCACTTATCAGCTCAGTGTTCATGACTCGTAACACGGTGGGAAAGATGATTTATCAAATGCCTTGTTGGTGTCACTGTCTGGGAGCATCAGGAAGTGTCCTGGAAAGAAGGCAAACCAGTGAGAGTTAAATCTTTGCAGTGCTCACATAATGAGCAACACCCACCATCTGTAAACAGGACCGTCCTGAAGAGTGACCCAGAACAAGGTGTCCCAGGGAGGCACTGCCAATTCCAGCTCATGGAGATGTCGCACCAACACTTAGGCGCATCAGAAAAAGTCACACGTGTGAATGGAGGGCCCCAAGGCATGGTCAAGGCTCTGGTGCATTCAAAGGGGAACATGATGTCCCTTGGCAAAGTGCAGAAGGTGAAAAAAATCTGTACTCAGCCGGGATTTGGGTAGACTTCCCTGGACATCCAACACAAAAGGTGGAAGATTTTTTAAAACCATCTCATTAAAGTATTCTTCGGTATATTTTCAGGAAAGTGTGTGTCTTAAGTGCCCAGCTCAATGACTTTTCCCAAGGTGAACACACCCATAAAACCTGCACCCAGACCAAGAAACAGCACACTGTCTGCCCCTGCAAAAGCCCTTTTGGGGTTTTTCCCAATCATAGCCTTCCCCCATAAGTAACCACTATTTTGACTTTCATCACCATGAATTAGCTTTGAACTTTACAAGAATGGAATCATGCAGTCTACACTGTTTAGCGTCTGACTCCTTTCACTCGTTATGTTTTAAAGCATTGCCTATGCTTGAGTAGTTGTAGCTCCTTCTCACTGCTGTATAATATTCCATTGTGTGAACATAGTACAACTCCTTTATTCATTTTATTGTTGATGTGCATTTGTTGTTTCCAGTTTTGGGCTATGATGAAGAACATGACTGTAAACATTCTAGTATAATCTCATGGTGGACATAAACCCTTAATTTTTTTGAGTCTATATCCAGGGGAGAATTTCAGGGCAGGAGTATTTTAGCTTTAATAGATAATGTTAAACAGTTTCCCAAATTTGTCACACATTCTGTATGATTCCATTTGTATAAGTTCAAAAACAGGCATATCAAATCGATGATGTGAGAAGTTCAGAGAGTGCTTACCTTTGGGGGGTTGTGATTTGGAGGGGTCACAAGGGAGACTCTGGGGTGCTGACAATGAATGGCTTGTTTCTCAATCTGGGCTCTGGTTACATGGGTGTGCTGACTTTTTTAAAAGTCATTGAGCTGTACAGTTATAATGTGTGTACTTTTCTGTATGTGTGTTACACTTAAAGTTTATTTTAAAAGTCTTGCTTTTTTCCTCCCTGTCTGCTTGAAGATCGGCCACCATCATGAAAGACAGTAACTGTCGAGACCAGGAAGTTCATGACCAACAGACTACTTCAGCAGAAACACATAATCATTGACGTCCTTCACCCTGCAAAGGCAATAGCATCTAAGGCAGAATTCGGGGAAAACTCGCCAAAAGGTACAAGACCACACC